AATAAGCTATTTGTTAATAAGCATTATTTTGAAACTGTGGCTGACTCTCAAGTTTACAAGTGATTATTGCCTAACGACAAACTCTGTACTGTCTCTCGTTTTGTCATGAGGAAAAAAAATTGTTTCTTTCCAAGCAAAAGGAGTATGTTCTTTAAGTGGGAACTTTGGTTTTAAACAAAACAGCACAGCTTGCTAGAAGGTCTAAAATGTAATGTTTTCAGGCACTGATGTTTCTACAGTTGATACTAAGAGCTTTGGTTATTCTGGAATAAAATTACTGGCACATTATCTCCTTGGATTTGAAGTTCACTTGAAAGTATTCACTCAAATCCTGAATATACTTGACTATGATGCTTCATATAATTTTTGATGAAAAAATTGAGCATGCAGGTAGCTACTGAACGGAGTAGCACGGAGAAGCCACTGAAAGCATTACTGAACCAATGCAATGCAGAGAGCAATGCTTATTCAGTTGCCTTTAGAGAAAAGGCATTAGTGGAGCCATGATTAATTTCTTGGCTACATTAATATTTTTCACTCTGGCTCTATGAACTGCAGCAGCAAGAACTTTTAATAAATGGATGTTCTTGACTTTAAAAAAAAAAAAGATTATGCTGTGCTTTGACAGCAAAATTGTGTTACTTTATTGTAACTCAGTGTTCAGAGCTATACTTTCCAATTCTGTTCAGGGAAGAGAGGGAACCGAATGTTAAGACGGCCTATTTTCTTTCCAGTCTGTGATCTGTCTTTAAGGGTATAAATTGACTCTGTGCACTACGCGGTATTTTTGGTTTTCCTATTAATGCAGTTCCAGTATCACACAAGTCAGATCTGGTTTAAGTCATTAAAAAATGACAGTGGGCTCAGCATTGAAAGCTATTTCATAGTGACTGGCCTAGGAGAAGAAACTGCAGGTTGGAATTGCTTTTTCCATCTGGAAGTCATAGAATCATAGAATGTTTTGGGTTGGAAGGGACCCCCAGAGGCCATCTAGTTCAACCCCCCTGCAGTGAGCAGGGACACCACTCACTAGATCAGACTGCTCAGAGCCCCGTCCAACCTGGTGGTCTTGAATGTTTCCAGGGATGGAGCCTCCACTGCCTCTCTGGGCAACCTGTTCCAGTGTTTCACCACCCATTGTAAAGAATTTCTTCCTTATATCCAGTCTAAACCTACCCTGTTTTAGTTTAAAGCCATTATCCCTTGTCCTGTCACAGCTGGCCCTACTGAAAAGATTTTCCCCATCTTTCCTATAGGCCCCCTTTAGGTATTGAAAGGCCGCAATCAGATCTCCCCGCAGTTAAGCTTCACTTACTATTTCAACTACAGATCAAAAATAGAGAAAATGCTACTAGTTGGAAATTGCAAATAGGACACAACCTTACTAAACAACTTTGATTAATCAACAGGCTGGTTACTAATTTGTTACCTAATACTTCACAAAATTGGCATTGCTGAGCCTCAGCCCTGTTGTCAAATATTTTCAGTTTCTATTCATGTCTTTAAAATGGACCTGGATCAACTTTAAACTGTACTAGACGTTGTTTTTACAATTAAAGCAAACTGCAACCTTCACATAATATTTTTGGTCAAGGAGATTTTAGTTCTATTTGAAGGAACTAAACTAATATTGCCCCAAAATATGTATGTGTACTCTTTGTCGTCTTCATTTTTTAAATACAACAATTTCTCAACAAATTCCTGTTTGCAAAGTAAATATCCATTACTATTTTCAAAAACTTTTCCACCGTTTATGTGCTTATACTTTATCATAAATGGTCCTTTTTTTATTTTACTTCATCCAACAGCATTTTGAGAAATAGTACGAATAACAGGATATAGCCTCTGCCCAGAGGTGCTTACACAGTAAAACTGATACCACAGTACGGGCAAGGGCAGGTAGGAAAGCAGGGTGGAACTTGGCATGTTCTGTAGTTACTTAATCAAAGCCTAATACACAGTGCAGAGTTATAAAATCTTCTGTGTGTTGAAAGTTTGGTTGTTTTTTTTTTTAAACTGCTCTTCAATGTGTGCCTTTAGAAATAGCTCTTAATATAAGAACAAGGAAAGGGACATATGGATAAATTCAGAATTTGATCAGAAAATCTCATAATGGAACTGTAAGCTTGAATGCAGATTTCGATAAAATAACCGATTTGCCTGAGTCAGTTTTCAAAGTAACAAGTTAGAAACTTGGATTCAAACCTTATTTCCTACTCCTTTATGTAGATTAAAAATAATTCACTGGGCAGGAGCGAATAGCATGCTGGAAGGATGACATGAATCACTCTAATTACTTGAACGATCACATTCACTCTTGCACAGAGGGGAAGAACGTCTTAGGCCTGGATATGGGTTGTAATTGCAGATGAAATATTTGATTATAAAAAGAGTACAGATGAGAATGGATACAGTATTTAAAAAAAAAAAAAAGAGCAGTTCATGATTTCCCATACAAAGTCATTAGAGGTTTTAGAGGGAATAACTGGGAAGGGAGAGTAGTATACTGCCGTGATCTGTTTAATCCTTGCCTTGTCTGAGATGGCAAAGAACACCTGTAGAAGTGCTCTTCCTGGCTTGATTAGGGTTTTCCAATTCTAATCCTTTTTGCTGAGACTAGTTAGCTGAAACACCTCTACAGTCACAGAAATTAATATACTTGCATTTAAAGTTTTGTATGTGAAGAAATCAAGATAGTTTTGATTATATTAAATCCTTTTAACGAGTGTTACTTGGTAGAAGTTAATTGAGAACATTGAAATACAGAACATACTTTTTCTGGCCTGTCTTGTTTGAAAATTACTATCATTAGTCATTTTGCATGATGTGTCTAAGCAACTTCATTATTGCAAATACTATAACTGAGTAATTTGGAATCCCTGAGATTTATAGACAAGGTCTAAATCTTTGGGTTTTTTGGTTGGGTTTGGGTTTTTTTTTTCCCCCTTTGGTTTCCTAGTTTTCATACAGGGGTGTTAAAATAACACTATATTTGCTTCTGGTAATCTGTGACAGTGGCCAGCCTGCTACAGGTACCAAAATCCTTAATGATCAGAGTTGCTTTGGTACTTCCAAAAACTTTCCCGTACATCTTTATTATAAACTCAGGCTTGTTTCCACTTAGTTTCTAATTTATAGTTGTGATACCAATCCTAAATGTCATGATAGCTTTCTGCTCTAACCCAGGAGCTATTTCTGAATTCACTGGAGAGACTAGAGCCTAGCAACACGTGCTAGCAGCACTGCTTGCAGACTCTGAAATGGAGTGAAGTGGGTTATATTAGCACTGTTACAGGCAGAGCTTTTCCGTTTTATTTCTGAAGCTAAACAGTGTTGGTGGTGGGAATGATGGAATAGTAAGTTGTTAGTGACTGTCTTAAAGCACTGCCTAGTACAAGTTGGTAGGAGTATGAAAATATAAAGGCTCGTGTGTCAACAGACAAGTAATATTTTAAGGAGTAGGCATGACAGCGCATATAGAAGGGTTGGTTTTGATCAGAGATACTCAGTTGTTGTAGTCGCAACCCATATTCTTTGTATTTTGAGAAAATTTCTTAGTAAGCTTTTTGTAGCTTAACAATTGCCCTTGATCTCATGATAAAAGGGGAGAATTTTTGTCTAACTCAAATATTTAATGGCTGCAAACTTCTGTTAACTCTGCATTCTAAGCTTCTGCTTGAAAGCGTTTAAAAATACTTTCAAGCTTCTAACAAAAAGAAAAAAGTCCAGTTTTAGTTGATGTAGGTAGTCTTTGGCCTTACAGTGAATTAATTTGCTGATATGAATCAACCCTTTTATTGTTCAAACAAAGCAACATTTCTGAATTGGCTCACGGAAATATTAATGATCAAAAATGCAGCTTTTATCTTCTGGGGTGATACTCTTTATGCAACAGGCATTGGACCATGGAAGTCTAGGGAACAAGGTAACAATTCTGACACTTCCTTGCTGTTTTAAGAAGCTTCCTCCCCTTTTCTTTGAGAAAAGCCTACCTTTTTATTGCTGGCTCTACCCCTCTCACTTCCAAAATAACTGTACCTTGCCAGGGACTTTCACGTTTCTGCCATTTTGCACCTTCTTAAAGTGCAGCTGACTTGTTGGTGACGGCTCTGTAGCTGAGCAAGCGCTTACTGCAACAGTAGCATGCAGACTGAGAACTCCTGTATACACAAAGTAGGACTAGTTGTTAGCATTTGGAAGAAATGTTAGTGGTAATATATCTGAATATTTTAGACTTACTTTTAGCTGGGTAGCCCCAGTCATTAACAGACAGTTTAATTGGAATTGGCTATCTCTGTGTGAAGAACTGAAAGGGAGGGTTGTCTTGTAGGCTGAAAATACCCAGCTACACTTTAGAGGTGTTAAGCCATCTCTTGTGCTTTCTCCAGTGATTTATATCTCTGAAGGGCTCTAACCAAGCTGTCAGGTCCCATCGTAATAAAAGAACGTATGCTAAACAGCTTGTCAGCCGTTTAAAGCTATATATATAGTAAATGGAGGAAACGGTATTAATTTCTTACCCTACCTACAGCTGAATGCAAGAAGCATCTTTCTCACTGAAGAGATACCATCAAATCTATTACAAGACTGACACAAACCTTGAGCTCAACTTCACAATTTTGCAATCAGTTAGGATACGTATGCACAAAAGATAAATTGAGTTTTTAAATACTTCAGCATAGGGGGTAAATTTCATGTAAATACAAACTCTTTAAAAAAAAAAAGTTATTTCCAGATGCAGCTGATTACTCCTGCAGTAGTTGTTACATCAGTTTGTTGGTTTAAGTGCTCTCTCAAGTTTGTCAGTATCTAGCTTTATGGCCAGCCTCATTTAAGAACAAATCAGACAGAAAATGTGGTAGTTTAAGTTAATGGTACAGCTCTGATACTGAGTTATATGGGTAAAATAAGACAGAAAATTAATAATAATTGAAAGTGCAACACTGTCAGACAAAACACATTTGACTTAAACCTTTTCTCTTACTTTTTTTTTTCAATAGAAACTATGTTCCAACTTCCTGTCAACAACCTTGGCAGTTTAAGAAAGGCCCGGAAAACTGTGAAAAAAATACTTAGTGACATTGGTTTGGAATACTGTAAAGAACATATAGAAGTAAGTATGATACCTCCCAAGTGTTGTAGGTAAGAGTTAAAATGCTCCAAAGTTAGCAGACTATGAGGTCATTGGTGTATAACTTTTTTTTTTTTTTTAGAACTGCTTCACAAAATGTTAAATTTTTATTGTAAATTTTGAAGGAATCCCCTATATTCTGTTCCTGCACCATACTCCTGTTCTCATCAGCTTTTGAGAATGATTCTGGGATTCCATTTGAACCTTGTTCAGGTGTTGCTACCCCTACATTACTCTTTAAGTTCTACACAAAGTAGGACTTAATTCATTTTATTGAGCTAAAAATGTACCTACAAACACTTTTTAGAAAGTTCAGTGGAGACAAGATACACTTCAGGCTATATGTGACTGACTTGATATATGTTGAAGGTAGGTCGTCCTTACGTTGGATTCTTAAAACTGGCATTTGCTAACTGAACATTTAGGAATGGAGCAAGAACTAGGTGTGGTATGGGATGTTCTTGGGGGACAGAAGATGGTTCTGTGGTTTTCATGACGTGTTTGTCAGTGCTAACGGTAGGTCATCAAGTTAAAGGATCACTTCTGTACCCGTCTTAGTTCCTATTAGGGAAGGGTGTTTGCGCTGCTCTTTTGGACAAACTTTGTAGGAATCCTCTCCAAAGTGCGGCTTTCTCTCCTGAACACAAATTCTGTACTGTCAATTCACACACCTCAACTCCTTAGACTACTCAGCAAATTGTGACCTGTTTGCTTTGGCTTTTCTGTTGGTGTCTCTTTAAAGAGCATTTAAGTGAGATGTGTAAGAGCAAGAAATGCCAGTCCTTCCTGCATGGAAAATCTGCAGAGCAAGTATAACTTTTAAGGGTAAAATTCTGAATTGGGACAATGTTACTTTCGGTATTCATTTCAGTGGAAATACTACTTTTGAGTCCTTATGTGCTGCTGACTTATATGCCAAAGATGAAATGCCAAAGTATTTAATAAGATTTTTTTTTTTTTTAATAGGAATTGGGCTTCTTGGACATCATACGTGTAGTCAAACTTTTAAAACTTTTATCTGAATTCCTCTGTGAAATTAAAGTAATAGAAAACCCCAAAGTCAATCAAACGCTCTCCCCAAAAAAAAGAACCAAACCCCAAACAAACAAAAAACCAAACATCAGAGTTATGGTAAAGCATCTATATGATCTTAAATGTTTAGCAGTAGCCCGGAAATACTTTTCTCCAGGACTGCTTTTGAAAATGGGGCAGGTATGTAATTATAGTCTTGCGTTAGTTAGGAGGAGGGGTATTGAAAATAGTTCTTCAGGTGTTTTATGAAAGAGACTGTTCACAACTCTTCAGCTCCAAAGAGGTGCATCTTGTGTACCCACACTTCCTTGAGTTAATAATATCCACTGTTTGCCAGCAGCACTTGAGAGGACTGCATGGATGCTTACAAGCATTGCTTAAGGGAGCAGGTGGTCTTTGGTTTTCATTCTCTGTACTCTCTTCCCGTCTTCCCCTTCTCCAGGATTTTAAGCAGTTTGAACCTAATGACTTTTATTTGAAAAACACTACATGGGAAGATGTAGGATTGTGGGACCCATCGCTTACAAAAAATCAGGTTGGTAATAGTTTATCTTGGCACATCTGATTCTGAAGATGGTTCATACTAAAGGGAATTTCACAAATATGTCAAGAGCTTTTCCTGCAGTTTTACCATTGATCTTCATTTCTCGTCAGTTTAAGGGACAGCAAAAAGCTGTGCTTAGGGTTGTGTTGTTTGTTTTTTTTTTAAAGTAGTAATCGTCTTTATCTTAGTAGTATGGATAGCCAAATACTGGAGAACTGATTGGTCAAGAAATCTTACTCACCCTTTGACAACTGCATGTTAAGAGCCCATCTGTTTTCAAGCTCAGCACAATTTCACCATCCTTCCAGTCAAAAATACAGTTTGTGATAAGTGGGTTTTTTTTTTTTGTACTTTTCCTTAAATGTTTCATTATGTTTTCATCATTTCATAAAAAGTTTAAATGAACGTATCTAACTGCTGCTCTCTCCACTAGTGGTGTAGCTCTGTTAGCTGTCTGCCACATCTGAAGATCCTTATAATCGGACTATGTCTGAGATTTGGTGTAGGCATATATAGTACAGCTGAATGAAGTGACGCTGGAAGTCTTACTTTTTAGATGTTTCTGAGCCAGTAATAAAGGAAATATGAATTGAGCTAGAAGTGGGGGAGGAAGTAATACTTGATTCTGATCAAACACATGTAAGGCAAGTCGTGTGCACTGCAGTAGCCTCTGCCGATGGTACAATAGAGAGTAATACCAGCATGGACAGAACCGTGAGAAGGTGAGAAATATCTCTACAGAAATAGCCCTCTTTTAGCACCCGAAAGATCAGGTGTTGCTATTATAGGAAATGGGAACCTGTATGATGATGGATTCCTAGTGTAGCGTTAATCTAAAAATGTCCCTTTATTACCATATTCCATAAAATGCACTGATCTTGTCCTTTTTCCTAGTTAATTCCAGAATAAAAATTGTAATATAAAAGGAGGCAGCTTTTGTTTAGCTTGTTTTGTTATATCTTGTCTCCAGCCTACCAGGTGTCTGAGGCTTCAGAAGGTGGACAGAAGCACATATTCCTACTTATTTATACAGAGGGAGAGTACAACTCTCCAGCTACTTCATATGATCTATGTGTAGCTTGCCTCACAAGACTTGTTCTGAAACTGGTGATGAATGTTTGTAACTATTTGAATTTCACGTCTTACCTCATCTGAAATGCCAGATTGCTTGTGGCTGTCTCTAAGGCCAGTGTAACTTTAGTTTCTGTTACAACAGTTGACAAGAACTGCATTGGCAATGTGTTAAATATGACAAAGATAAAGGGTGCAGGGAAACTGCAAGTGTGGAATTTTTAAATACCTTTTTTTTCCCCATCTGATTCAAGATTGTTTTTAAAAATCAGCTTTGTGCTTTGACCAGAAGGAAAAGGCTGAGTGGCTTTAAGGACTTGTGTAGCCTTAGTATATGACTGAGTAAGCTAAAATCTACTTGCTCACCGAAGTTTTGAAGAGCATCTTTATATAAAGCTTGTAATGGATTAAGACACTGAAATAGCTAAATTATATACCAGTCTTCTACCTATAAATCTTTGGCAGATTTTGATGGGAAGTAACTAGTCTTCTGGATACAGTCTCAAACATGCTTGCCGTTCCCCCCTGGAAATGAGCTTACAGTGAACTTCTTCATGCAGCTCAGCTGCAGGGAATAAGGCTTTTTTTTTTTTTTTTTTTCCCCACTGGTGGAGAAAGATGCTTATGATCTAGCCTTGTATGCTGAGTTAACAGTTAAACTCTTGAGGGACCTCTAAATTGGCACTCGCCACATCACCTGTATGTTCAGATGATAAATTTTTTAGGGCCTGATCTGCAGGCCAAAAACTGGAGAGAAGAAATGAATCTAAAGGTTTGAGACTGTTGCAGTGGGTCTGGAGACCATTATTTAGAAACATTATTGTTTAGAGAAGGTAATAGATGTTGTTTTCCTAAAAACTGCTTTTCAATATTTAGTGTCTGCTTTGTTCTTTGTTTTAAGGACTATCGGACAAAGCCCTTTTGCTGCAGTGCATGTCCATTTTCCTCGAAGTTCTTTTCAGCGTACAAAAGCCACTTCCGGAATGTTCATAGTGAAGACTTTGAAAATAGGATTCTTCTTAATTGTCCTTACTGTACGTTCAATGCGGACAAAAAGACTTTGGAAACGCACATTAAAATATTTCATGCTCCAAATGCCAATACACCAAGTGGAGGCATCAGCACTTTTAAAGATAAAAACAAACATGATAGCCTTAAACCTAAGCAGGCTGACAGTGTAGAACAAGCTGTTTATTACTGTAAGAAGTGCACTTACCGAGATCCTCTGTATGAAATAGTTAGAAAGCACATTTACAGGGAACATTTTCAGCACGTTGCTGCTCCTTACGTAGCGAAGGGAGGTGAAAAGTCACTCAATGGTGCAGTTCCGTTAAGTTCCAGTACCCGAGAGGAGGGTAGTATTCACTGCAAAAGATGCCTTTTTATGCCGAAATCATACGAAGCTTTAGTACAGCATGTTATCGAAGACCACGAACGTATAGGATATCAGGTAACAGCAATGATAGGTCACACTAACGTAGTGGTTCCAAGATCTAAACCTTTGATGCTAATAGCTCCAAAACCACAGGATAAAAAGCCTATGGGACTCCCTCAGAGGATGGGTCCCCTTTCCCCTGGAAGTGTTCGATCTCTTTCATCACAACAGATGATGAACAGACTCACTATACCAAAGCCTACATTAAATTCTGGAGGAGTGAATATGATGTCAAATGTTCACCTACAACAGAACAATTACGGAGTCAAATCAGTACCACCAAGTTACGTTGGTCAGCCAGGGGGAAGGCTGAACTTAAGCGGTAACGCACCTGTTTCTATTCCACAACAATCGCAAACAATGAAACAGTTTTCGGCAAGTGGAAACGGAAGGCCTTATACTCTTGGAGGGGAGCAGAGATCACAGGCCTCGGCAAGATACTCTCTTCAGTCTGCCAATTCTTCTTCTCTTTCATCAGCTCAGTTGAAACAGACGTCGTTATCTCAGTCGCAGGCAGCTTCAAGAGTATTAGGTCAGTCTGGCTCGAAATCTCCTGTAGCTGCTACAGGTCCTTCCGCTGTCAATACGTCATCCACACAGAAGTGGAAAATCTGTACAATCTGTAACGAGCTGTTTCCTGAAAACGTGTATAGCGTCCATTTTGAAAAGGAGCACAAGGCTGAAAAGGTGCCTGCAGTAGCTAACTATATAATGAAAATACACAATTTCACTAGCAAATGTCTATACTGTAATCGCTATTTACCCACTGATACATTGCTTAACCATATGTTAATACATGGTCTGTCTTGTCCGTATTGCCGTTCAACCTTCAATGATGTTGAAAAGATGGCTGCTCATATGCGAATGGTTCATGTTGATGAAGAAATGGGACCTAAAACTGATTCCACTCTAACTTTTGATTTGACATTGCAGCAGGGCAGTCACACAAATATACATCTTCTTGTAACCACCTACAACCTGAGAGATGCTCCTGCTGACTCTGTAGCGTACCATGCTCAGAATACTCCCCCAGTTCCTCCAAAACCACAGCCGAAAACCCAGGAGAAGTCTGATGTACCTGTAAAAAGTTCTCCGCAAGCAGCAGTTCCCTACAAAAAAGATGTGGGGAAAACCCTCTGTCCTCTGTGCTTTTCAATCCTAAAAGGACCCATCTCTGATGCACTTGCACATCATCTACGGGAGAGGCATCAAGTAATCCAGACAGTTCATCCGGTTGAGAAAAAGCTAACCTACAAATGCATTCATTGCCTTGGTGTATATACTAGTAACATGACTGCCTCAACTATAACGCTGCACCTTGTTCACTGCAGAGGTGTTGGGAAGACGCAGAATGGCCAGGACAAAGGTACTTCCTCATCTCGGCTAAGTCAGTCTCCGGCTGTAGCACCTGTAAAACGTACTTACGAACACATGGAATTCTCGCTAATGAAGAAAAGGAAAATGGATGATGATGACTCCCCCTCTGCCTTTGAGGAGAAGCCTGAAGAACCTGTAGTTCTAGCATTGGACCCCAAGGGCCATGAAGATGATTCCTATGAAGCCAGGAAAACATTTCTTACAAAATACTTTAATAAGCAACCATATCCCACTAGGAGAGAGATTGAGAAGCTGGCTGCCAGTTTGTGGCTATGGAAATCTGACATTGCGTCTCATTTTAGTAACAAAAGGAAGAAATGCGTTAGAGATTGTGAAAAATACAAACCTGGTGTGCTGCTTGGTTTCAGTATGAAAGAGTTAAACAAGGTTAAACATGAAATGGATTTTGATGCTGAATGGCTGTTTGAAAACCACGATGAAAAGAACTCCAGAGTCAATGTTAGTAAGACTGTTGATAAAAAGATAAACTTAGAAAAAGACAATGAAAGTTCCTCAGACAGCTATGAAAATATTGAAGAGGAATACAATGAGAGCGGTAGTCCGTTTGGTCAGCGTATTTCTGACCTTGGTGGGAAAACCTCTTCTGATAGCATAGCGGAGAACCCAGAGGACAGCATATCCAAGGAAATCATTGAAGAAAATACATTACAGTCTCCAGAGAAGTCTGATCAAAAACAAGAGGAAAGCTCTAAATATGAAGAGATTATTTCTGCTGAAGAACCAGCAAAACTGGTGGGTGACGTTTCAGATAGCGAAGGTGATCAGGATGATCAAGATGATGCTGTTGAATGGAAAGATGGAGCTTCACAGTCTGAAAGTGGGCCTGGTTCTCAGCAGGTTTCTGATTTTGAAGATAATACATCGGAAGTAAAACCAGAAGTGTGGACAGATGAATCCTCCCAAAGTGAAGATGCTGGTAGCAGTAAACCGACTGTTGAGACAAAAGGGGGTGGATCTGAAAGCGATGAAGAACAGTCAAAGTGGAAGAATCGTTCCTATGGAAAAGTAGAAGAGTTTTGGTCTAAGGACCAGTCGCAATGGAAAAATGCATCCGAGATTGAGGAGAGCTTGTCAAATCAGCAGATGGAATGGCAGAATAGCACAATTGACAGTGAGGACGGAGATCAGTTTGACAGTGTGACTGATGGAGTAGCAGAACCAATGCATAGCAGCTTAACTGGTGTGGAGCTGAGTAGCCAGCAAGCATAAGCTGCTCGATTCAGAAGTGTCAGTAATAGGATCCAACCTACAACTGTCGAAACACTTCCATGTCAGTGTGACTGCTAAGCTTAAATTCTAACTGGTACTGCCTTTCAAGTGCTAGGTCATGGCGTGTGGTGGTTGCGGCCACTTATTCCAGTGGTTATTTAAGGATGCCGGTGGCTAATCTTGCTTGAGAATACCTGCTGGGATGAGCACAGTAACTTAATGTGAAAACGGATAAGCTGGTGGCTCCAGAATGCACACAGAGAAAAGCAGAGGTTTATTTTATCTGCATTTTCAACATTTATTTCACTCTTGTACATGTTCAGTTGTATGTCTTTTTAAACATTACCCTTTTTCACATGGTAGTGTAGGGCCAACCATACAAGCTACCAGTTCAACGTGTATAGTAGACTATGGGGAAATTGATTTTTTTCATGTATCATTCTGAATAGTTGAAATGTATATTTGTACAGTCTTTTAGACCTATTCAAGTGAAGCTTATGAAATTGTTCTTGTGTACCCATCATAGATTTGTTTCTCTTTTTTAGTGTTGCCCTGCTGTGTAATAAATGCTGTATCTAGTTTACCTAGCAAAAGCTTGAAACTGCTATAGTATGAATTTTGACAAACTTAGTTTTTGCACATAACCTTGTACAATCTCAAAACAGAGCCCAGCAACATAAAAAAATATATCTGGACTCTATTGTATTATAGAATTTTCTTGTTCTGAATATCCTTGACATTACAACTGATGACAAACGTATTTCAGAGCCATTTTCTGAAATCTTTTAAGCTAAAAAAGAAAAATCACATGCAAGAAACAAATTTGCAGCTACTAATTTTGACACCTTTTAGATCTGTATAAAAGTGTATTGTGTTGAAGCAGCACACTGAAACAAAAGTGCTGCGTTTTGAATATTTAGTTTTATCTTTAGTTAACACCAACAAGGTGTTGTATTCATTTATACCATCTAATATATGACACACTGTTGTAGTATGTATAATTTTGTGATCTTTATTTCCCTTTGTATTCTTCATTTAAGCATCTAAATAAATTGCTGTATTGTGCTTAATGTAAATATTTGCTTTATTACATGCAAGTGCTACATTCCTGTTTGGTAAATCGCACCTTGCTATATGCATTTTTTTTTTTTTTTTTTTTTTTTCCCTCCTCTTTTTTCTTTCCCCAAAGTGCTCCACAGCTCTGCTGGGGCATGTCTGTATAGTACTTCCTTACTGAACAGGCAGGTCTCTCCTTCAAGGATATTGAAAATCCTACAGAACTAACTTTGGCTAAATTTGTCTTTACAATTTAGGATTCTAGAACACTAATTTATAAATAGGATTGTAGTGATGTGCTTGTTCTGCATCCTGGAGAAACAAGGTCTATGAATTACTTGCGTTTTTCATCCTTTCGTACTTCAATGGATGGAGATCACTTTTTCACATATTAAAAAGTTAGCTAGAACTACGTCTCTCTGAAGCACTATGTATCCAGGGTAAATGATAGCGAAGGTATTTGAATACTTACCATTTAAATGTGAGGGAGCGTGCTGTGCAGGCTACAGACTTGTTTTGGCTTTGAAAAAAAAAAAGTAATTTGAATGCTAAAAAAACCCCCAAAAATAAGTTTGTTAAAATTACTGATTGGTCGAACCAGTCCTGCATTTTGGCAAGTGTGCAGTACAGCAGACAGCTGCATAACCAAAACCTCATCCTGATAATTTACTGAAGGCAATCTAATTGTGATGAGAACAAAACTATTAATGAGAGTGATGAGTTTAATTTAGGCATATGTCTAATAAATACCAGAGTACCTACTATTTGATACAAGAACTAAATTGACCTGTGAATTTTTCATTATTGTTGTAAAGGCGGAAATAGTTCTGCGCTCTTCAACATTTTAAACAGCAAAACCATTTCACAGAGATCTTGAGGAAACATTTAGGTCTCTGTAGCAGTCCTGGGTTGGTATAAACTGTACGTCCCACTAGTACAGGGAACAAGCCGCTACGTAAGCCAAAGACGAGAATGCTACCGTGTTCTGCAACTAACCTGTACTGCTGACACTCTGGACTGAGCATTTTTGGGGTTGGTTGAATTAATAATGTGTGAAGTGATGACTGAAAACAGTTACCTTTAGCTGAAGATGGTTTGGATTTGTCTTGTTCTTCCTTTCCCCCTTCACAGAAGGGGTACGTACTTTCATTCTGCTTTTTTAACTGAGAGGAGTGGAAGTTGGACTGGCTCCCAATTACGCACTCAAGTGGTAGAAGATACGTTTTTAAGAAATCTTGACATTTACATCAGCAAAAGAGCTCCTGGTGTTTCTCTGCCTTAAAAGAAAACTTGAGCCTCAACTAATTTTGTTAGCAGGCTTTCCAAACTGTTTCATTGAAAATAACTTTTCAGTAAATCAGTTGAGAGTTTAACTACCACTTACAGATGCCAATGGGTTGGTCATCTTTTTCCCAACAAAACCAGGCCCTTAAAGTCCTGGAAAAGGTTTCTTCCTCACTAAAGAAAACTTGGTTATGCTCTGTTCTCCCTCTGTGGGCTGCTCTACTTCACAGGAGGCCACTGTCTGAAAACTTAAGACATTTCAGAATTTGTTTTGTGTCATTTCATCTAGGCTGTAAGGGATTTTTTAAATACATTTTTTAAAAACTTTAAAAAAAACCCCAACAGTTTAATGGTAGTACAACAACCTTCATCTGTTAAGCAATGAAATAAAAAATCAGGTATCTTATGAGTCTGCATCATATTTGTCTCGCTATCTGGCAAGGTTAATTTAATATTAGTGTAATTTAATATTAGTGAACTCTGTAGTCAAATCTCCAAACTCTGAGCTCCTGTGTGCAGTCAGTGAATTGCAAGCCTATGAAACCTGAACCCTAGAAATGCTTCATTTGCCAGAAAAGTCCATGACAGGAAATACCCATTTTATATAGTGATTGAATTAAAGGTCTTGCACAAAAATAGTCTTGTCTTACCAGGAATATCAAGAAGGACGGGGTTGTTGTTTTAAGTTTTGGTATAAACTTTCTAGTATTTCAAACAAATTAATCTTCAAGCCTGGATTTTAGCCTAGGCAAGAATTCCTTTCTAGATTTGAGGCTAACCACGCATTTTTGAGGAAGTCGGAAAGCGGAAGAGGTAAATGGCCCAATAAAACCATAGGAACCTTAAACCTAGTTTGTGTGATCTTAACTTATCACACCATTATAATTATAGGAGATGGAAGTTACCTGATTTTTACATACGTTACTGAAGTTCTGTAGCAGAACTCCAGGAACGTGCCAGCTGTGCTTGCGGAGTAGCTACCTCAAGCTGACACCTGAATTCTGCTGTCTTTGGTGGGAGACCTTGAAACAGTCGTCTGTCCAGGCTTTGGCCAGCACCGCAGAGCAGAAAGACCATTAAGACTCTTCTCTAAAGAATTTGTTTCAGCCAGTTTACCTGAATTGCAGCAAAGCAAAGTGTGTCTTCCATCTTAAAGACGCTATCTGAAATCTAAAGGTTGTAACAGTTGAGAATGAAGTAGGAGGTTATTAGCATACACATTGTTTCTAGGCACAAGACAGCTTTGTACAACACAAACTCTTTCAGAGCTGGTGTGACCTGTAATTTGACTTTGACAATACCCGAGAGCAGCAAGGACAGACTGAGATAGATTGTTATGGGTAGTTGCATTGTATATGACACTTTATTTCTATGCGTGTTCATATGGGCTTGTAGTAACTGGCATCTCGAAGCATTGGTCCTTGCTCTGACAATTTCTATGTGTGTTCATATGGGCATCTCGAAGCATTGGTCCTTGCTCTGACAAGCAAGAGATGCGGTGGTTCAACAAGTGCACTCAATTCCTCGTTCTTTCAGTGCGCTCCTCTCCTTCCATCCCTCCCTCACTCCCTGAAGCATAGTTACAGCCAGTAAGCTTTCTGCCAAACTGAATGGTTACTGTCCAGCAGGGACAGACAGACAGCTTTTGCTAAACTCAGTTTTCTATCCAGTGCACCAGACACTAAAGTCACACTTGATCTCAGCATTTTCCTGTGGGTACTGAGACTTAACCCTTCATCCACACTAGGATTTCTACTCAACCAAAACCTTTTACATGATGTTGCAGAAATACCTGCATTATTTCACAAGCTTTTAATCTTACTGAAAGTTCAAGTGACATTTAGTGCTGCCATCCTCTGTTCAGCAGTAACATTTCTGTAGCAAGAACTTGCCAATTAATATTTGACCCTTCGATGTGTATTTTCAAGACAGAAACCTGAATATTCACCCAGCATTTTTCTAGGAAAATTCTATCATTCTTGGCACCAAGAAGTGAGTAGGTTTCAAATACCCACTAATGCATTTACAGTAACCAGTTTACCATTTTGTAGTACATATATTTCATACACTGCTATGGTATTAAACCACGTTTATTTCAATTTTTATCAGAACCAAAAGATTTTAGGAATATGTTGTGTGTACTGTCTCTTCATTTCTGTTAATAAAGAAGCTGATATTTGGATAAACAGGTTGGTATAACTAAGAGTATTTTGTTCCTTACAGAACTAATTTGCCTCTCTGCAATACCAGCTCGTTCATAATAATCCATTACAATAACCTGCATTGCAGGGGCAGAGGCATGGACTAGGTCTGTCTTCTCTTGCTTTATATTTTAATTCAACTTCATCTTTCATCATCAGCCCCACTAATAAATATGAAAAGGTTGAGTTCATTTATTTCTGCATCAGAAAAGCATTGGTCTCCATGGTTACTCAAAGCCACGTAGCTTTACTTTTACCATAAGCTTTTTTTTTCCCCCTTTACAGAATTTGCATTGGGTCCTCCATTTTGAGTTTTTCCACAGATATTTTTAAAACGAGAGCATTCATTTCTATTTCTTAATACTGTACTGTATGCAAAGCCAATCATCTGAAAAATATATAACCTTCTGTTCCTCATGTTCCTTATTCAGAGAATGGAGAGGGTTTTGTTTTCCTAGACCTATTTTGTAGTAAAGAAAAAAAAAAGCTACAGGTGCAGAGAGGAACTATGCTACTCCTGGTCCTGGCTAAATAGCATTTGCATTACAAAATTGCACATCCAAAGGTCCGTAACAGAAAGTTTATTTATACCATTCAAGTGATATTACACAACAGCTTTTAAAACCCTATTCCCGGTTTGAAATAGAGTGCTGGAAGCTTCAGCCATGTGCAGTTTACTGAATTGTAAAATTTTGACATCTACTTCATGTTCCCGTGTAAAACCTGACCATTTGTGCATTTGTGAAGCTCGCAGTACTAGCCCATTACTTGACAGGTTTAACATGCTATACTAGAGCGCTCTTCAACATTCTGAGCATTTTAGTATAAAAATGGGAAGGTAAACAATGTGAGGTTTTGTACATACTCTTCATTGATTTAGGAATCTTCCAAACAAGTGCAAACTAATGTTATCAAATCTTAGAATAAATGTTCCAGCCTCCGTATAGCTACAATATGATCAGAAATTTTTAGCTTCCCTTGAAGATGCTACCCAAAGATCTGAAATGTAACAGTTGCTTCTTCCTAATGTCATAAAGTATGAACTGTAAGAATAAACTCAGGCAGCCTTTCCTAAAAGCCTTTTGGTAGTCAAAAATTAATTATTTTGATACTTAGTACCTACATAGTTCATGGGAAAAAAGTCTTCAGTTCGGTAGAGTTTTGGCAGGTCATAGGAGCGTGCTGCTGATAGAGGATGTCTCTGAAACAAGAACAGGACAGAAATTAATCTTACTGTTAAAGAACAGGAGACAATACTTTAAGGAGTTGACCATGTAAAAGAGACATAGGTGTGGGGAGAGGAGTCGGCATCTCAGAACTGAAGTTACTTCCCAACACAAGGTAATTGGCTCTGTAAACAATGCTGAAAATGTGACATTTTTTATTTTCACACCTGAGTCTACAGACTTTGCAATCATCTTTGCTGGATTAATATTGAATAGATAAAAATAGAGTAGAACACAGGGGAATTTAGTTTTAAAGCACAGAAAAATGCAAATTAATTAGTAACACTGGAAAATACTACAGAAGAAATACAGAAAGGGATTTGAGTTTGCTTCTAGGGTTTTTAAGAATTCAAATAATTGATTAATCCTGAATTAAGGAGATAAAATAATATTTCTGTAGTGCAATGATTCAAACCTCTAACTAAAATCACAGTCTCAATGGAAAATGAAGAGCGTATCCCTCCCATAAAGCTAATGGTCTTCAGGCTCCAAACTTAACGTATTTCCAGAGAAGAGATTGCTATTTAGATGTAATCCTCACGTTTGTTTATATTTAATTCTCATTCGTGTATTTCAAGCTGTTCATCTGGTTACAAACATTTCTTGATAGTATCCACCACTAATTTGTTGGAATAGATACTGGCTCTCCATATACATGTAGGCACCACTGAAGAAGTAAATACTCATTTACACTATGACCTAGGTACTGGCTGCTGAAGCTGTGTTGCCATGCTGCCATTCTCAGAACAGGCAGGATGAATGGGGGTTCTGCTGACAAACTCTTGATTTGCACATCGCAGAGATCTGTGTTCTCGGAGAAGGGCACTCGCTACCTATGGGGATACAGAAACTTTGCTATGCAGGAGAAACATACATTTAGTGATAATCATCAACAGATGCATGTGGTTTTGAAGTTTTTATGTGCACACCCAACCAAAAGGAGATAGGCTCCTTTTAATGGGCAGAACACTAGGATTTTTTAATGTAAAATGTAATTTTTTTCATCTAAGATTGAAAATCAACAGTCACAACCCCTGAGTAAGACAAGATGAAGAATCTGAATAGATCATGTAAGAACTACTAGTGATGAGGTTCACCCCTGCAAAGCAGAAAGGAGAAAAATCCCTAACCAAAGAAGCTGTAAAAATAGCCAGCTGTAACAGTTCACAGTGGAATACTAATGTTTTCTGTATTTTCCATAAAATAAAAGTAGAGAGAAAGAAAAGTTAAAAATCACTCCAATTTTCAAAGTAAAATAATCTGTCCTTCATTTCTGGGGCAGTATTGCCAGTGGTAACACCATGAGAAAATGAGGCAGGAGTAGTGCTAGGAATGAGAGTAATTAAACTTAACAGGCTGAGCGACAATCTGTTTCAAGAAAGCCCTGATCAGAGCAAACAAACCTAACTAAGGACATGAGCCTCTCAAACCAGCTTTAAAAGTAGACTCCGGGTTTCCCATAGCTCATGAAACCACTGTCCCACTCTGATTTGTAACTGCTTATTTTAGAACTGCTTATTCTTAGCACTTACTATCCAGAATTTCTCCAAACAGACGATGCCATGATTGCAGTGAGAATTTGCTTTTTTTTTCTTTGAGATCCCTGCAATAGTAACGTGAAGCTTTGATGAATAATACCGTATTACTTATATAGTACTACAGGTATTATGATTCATAGATACATTTAGTCCCTTCTGACCCGCTATATGTTTTCTATACACCCTTCTGACACAGGTAATTCTTCTGGGTGACTCCTGTAACTGTGCCATAAATACTTTCAAAAGTGACTCCTCCTGTTCTACATATATTCACACCAAAATTCCAACAAGGAACACTCTTGATATCAGCTTATGTTAAAGGAACTACTTCAGTCTTCATTATCTTAAAGTATAGCTGCTGAATCAATAGTAAATGAGAGACAAAGATGCCAATCTATATGACTTGACAGTATTTTATGAGGAAGGGCTCTGAGAAAAGCTTTCTTTCACAATGGTACAAATGCCACACAGGGTTAAAAGACAAGGGCACAAGGAATCTCTGTGCTGTGCACATCACACAGACTGAAGATGAAATAATCCCTTTGTGGTCAGGCTGCTGTGGAACTTAAAGGAAAAGTGATATGGTTGCCTGCTAAGGGAGGGGGGGAGGAGAAGAGGGAGAAAATGTCTTGAAATTCCAAAGCCTACTGAAGTCATCAAAAGAGAAAGGTTTAAGCAGTAGCAAATAGCTTTTCACCTCTAGGTCACTTGATTCATGTCTGTCACAATCTAATAAAGGCCAGATTATGGCCCTTAGAAAGTAGGTGCTCTCATTAGGCTGGCATCCATACCATAACACACAACCACTAGTGACACTGACTACAACAGTAGCTTGCCAAAGGCCAAGTGCCCCTAAGACTAAACCATGTTTATGTCTAATCCAGGCTATAAAGGCCTTAGGCCAGGTTCTGTCATTTCACTGGCATCTGTAGGCACTTATGGCACCTATTCTGTGCAAATACATAAATCCTTATTTCTCCTCTTGTCTCTTAGGTCAGGCTTGAGACAGCAGAGCATAGTGTAGCAAGCTTACACTGTACCTGAAAAACACAAGCTGAAGACAGGTCTCTGTTGAGATGCCCTATACCCCTGTATTCTTTGTCCCATACTTGGAAACTATTTATTAACTTAAAGATCCAGCAATGAGTGAGTAAACAGAGGAAATAAAGATTAAAGGAATTATAGAGGAATTTTGCATTTGGAAGGATGTAGAACAGGTTTAGATGAAGCTAGATCAAATAGTAGAAATGAAAGGATTAAAACATTTGAGAGAGCTTTTGAAAAATGAGGTACACACAACAATTCTGCACTTGCAGGCAAATAAAATGGCATGTAGAATCATGCCTGAAAGATTAAAACTTCTGGTGGCAGCTTTACAGACTTCAGTCAGTTGCATTTTAACAGGCAGCCAAGTTATCCAGGGAGACAAGTTGTATGACAAAATATCTAAAGCATTAAAAGCACCCCTTGAGAAATAAAGTTTGAAGCCCCTAAAAGCCAGCTCCCCAGCTGATAAAGCTAAACACATGAGAGCAGTAAGAAAATGACCCCTTTAAGAGCACAGTGGTTACTCTGACAACTGCAACCCGCCATCAGAACAGCAAAGCTGGGTCAAAAGGTGATCACTTACAGGTTGTATCACATCCAGGAAACAGCTTAATTCACAGACAGTTAGATTCTACCTTCTATTGAAGAAAAATAAATGCTGGGCTGAAGGAGTCTGCTTGCTCAGTTTCATTTTCATAGCCAGACTTAGCCAGCTGGCACAACAACGTTACATTTAAGGCAACTGCTCTAAGAATTGCTGAGGTGGACACAGAAAATTGTTTCCCTTCTATCCCAGTATCTACAAGATGGTCCAGAAATCCACTTCGGTACTGCTTTTATAACACAGATGTAGGTCATCTACCCCTCAGGGACCATGAGCCCAGCCCAGGTAGACGATTCATCCATCCATCCCTGGCTGTTCTCCTTCCCAACAGCCTCCCAAACAGATCAGGAACAGGTAGCACTTCACCCGCTTACATGAGCAATAAATACACTCTGGGAAGCAGCTAGGCAGGCGCAGTAGGTATGGTCTCTGTGGTACAGCCACCAAGTGCCCCAGCAGAATAGTTTGGCATCATTATAAGGATTTCTGTTTAGCCAGGCTATTTGCAGTGAGCCTGACCATTACAGCTAAAACACTGAGCTGTTTTCACAGACACAGAAAACAGTAGATTACCTGAGAAAAGGAGGAGGGATATTATTTCACATAGAAAAAAAAAAAGTTAACCTTCTACAGGCTGCGTCTCTGGAACTTAGCTGGTAACCTGAACCTCCATTCTTACTCTGGCAGCGATCATTCCAGATCCACAAAAAAAAAAAAAAAAAGCCTCCTTTAAGGCTACCAAATTTAAAGCCTTGGTAGTTCAACTTAGATGTATTTACAATAACTGTACTGGGCAGTTATCCCTCTGAACTGAGCTTCTGATCAATTCTACTGTTTCAAAGCAGAGAAAGGAGCAATAATAAAATATTTTGCCTATGCTGCCGGGCTGTGGTGCTGACTTTGCCTTACGTACTAGTCATGTTTCCAGAGCTCCTAAATCCATTCTTTTACATCTGCTGCCTACCACCTGAGGCAGCACTAGCATACCTTTCCCTTGACACCAGTAAACTTATTTGCTCCTGTTAGTTTACAGTGAAAGACAGCGAAGCTTTCTGGAGTGGATCAGCACCACTGCAGATATCCAAAGAAAACAAAGTAGCTCAAGGAGCACTCATCTACAGAAATCTGCAACAGGAATTTGAACTCTGCTATGAAAGATAAAAGGGGATTCTTGGCTATCTAGCAATAATTATTTTTCAGATTCAGTCATTCTTGCAGGTATTAAAATCAATACCTAGACTGTGGAAATCAAAACAGGGCAAAATACTGTGTTCAGTTTTGGGCCCCTCACTACAAGAAAGACGTTGCATTGCTGGAGCATGTCCAGAGGAGAGCCACAAAGCTGGTGAGGGGTCTGGAACACAAGTCATACGAGGAGTGGCTGAGGAAACTGGGGTTGTTTAGTCTGGAGAAGAGGAGGCTGAGGGGAGACCTTATCGCCCTCTACAACTGCCTGATGGGAGGCTGTACCGAGGTGGGGGTCGGCCTTTTCTCCCTGGTAACAGATGATAGGACGAGGGGGAATGGTTTGAAGCTGCGCCAGGGCAGGTTTAGGCTAGACATTAGGAAAAACTTCTTCACCGAAAGGGTTTTCAGGCTCTGGAATGGGCTGCCCAGGGAGGTGGTAGAGTTCTCCTCCCTGGAGGTATTTAAAAGAGGGATAGATGAGGTGCTTAGGGACATGGTTTAGTGGTGGGATGGCAGGGGTAGGTTAAAGGTTGGACTCGATGATCTCAAAGGTCTTTTCCAACCAAAGTGATTCTATGATTCTATGAAACCTGTTTCT